TACTTTTCCTGCAAGTACTGGTAATTGATTGATAACTTGAGTTATATTTGTCTCTTCCCTGCTAGAAAGGAAGCTCATGAAGGGCCTTGATCTGTGTAGGGCTCACTGGTAAATCCCAAGGACCTAGAACAGTGCCTGGAAAGGAGTAGGTGCTTTATAAACGTGTATTCAATAAATGAATGGCAAGCATCTCAGAAACATGAATGGTTATTATCTTCCTATTCAGTGAATAAGCAGGCAGGGCAGAGCTGTGAATAAGGTTTCCTTACCAAGAGGAGCAGGTAGCTGGGCTCCTGAGGCTGAGATCCTGGAGGGGAAAGCGGAAAAAGAATGTTTTTGACTAGGACTCAAGGAACAGGGCAAGGAAAGGAGAAGCAGAGGTCAAGCTACAGAAGGTAGTGATGTTCAAACCCAGTTTTAAAATTATATAGAAACAGTGATGATTCTGGGTCACGGAAGTTTGATGCCTAGTATGTCAAAATCAGAAACAAATATTTAAGTTGTTTTTTTTGCAACCTAAACACCCTCCTGGCTATCTAGGAAAATGCTCCTGATGCATGGTCCTCTGCTGTTTTGTATTTCCTTTAAGTTTCCCCTTGTTGGATATCTGAATAGGGTAAGGAGAAAAAGAAGAAGAGTTGGATTCTTCCAGAGTCTACCAACTGGCCTCAGGTCTCTCACACACATCTCATTCCATTCTCACCAGAGCCCTCTGAGAAGGCGTTATTAGCCCATATTGTAATATTGGGGAAACCGAGCCACGGCGCCAGGAACAGAGCCTGACACACAGCAGATGCTCAATAAATTTTTACCGGACTGAATTGGAGGGGGAGACGCTCAGTGAGGGAAAGAAGGGAATGAAATCCTTCCACCATCCCCACCGCTGTTCCTGGGAATTAGAAGTGGGAAGAGGCGTGGGGCACATGGCAGGGCCGTCCCACTCTGCAGTTCTGGAAAACGGCAGCACTCCCATCCGCCTCCGCCCTTCATCACTCCCACCCCACGCTTTAGGGGCCACCTGGAACTCTCTCGAGGACGCCCCCCAGCCTGCCCCAGGAGGTCTGGCGCGCCCGCCAGGCTGCAGGGAAGTGCCGAGGCGCACGGGGTAGCGGGCGAGCGCTCCCGGCAGGCGGTCCCTCCACCACTCCGGCGTCTGCCCCGGAGGTCGGTTCGCTGCTCAGCCCGGCACAGCCCGGAGTCGGAGGCTGGAGCGCGCCGACGACGCCGGAGGGCCGGGGAACAGACACTGGCGCGGCCCTCCGCCCCAAGGGTGGGCAGCCTGTGCCTTGGCCGGGGCGCGCCGAGACCACTGGACAGCCCTTCCCCCAGCGCGGCCGGCCGCCAGGGGGAACACCCCACCCTTCGGCTGCTCGCTCCTTCCCCTGTCCCCAGCGCACCCGCTTCTCCTGCCCCAGCCTCAGCGAGACTCACTCCGCCCGCAGCTCCGCCGAGTCGCTCTGGGCGCTGCAGCGGCTGAAGCCGCCGGAGCTGAGCGCTCGCCAGGACGCAGACGGCTGCAGAAGTCGGGGCAGCCCCGGTGCGGCGGCACTATGAATGGCTCGGGTGGCCTGGACACCGAGGACACGAACGAGGCGGGCGGCCGGGGTAGCTGGCAGCCTGAGGCGGTCATCGTGCCCATGCTATTTGCGCTCATCTTCCACGTGGGCACCATAGGCAACTCACTGGTGCTGGCCGTGCTGCTTCATGGTGGCCAGGCGGTCAGCACCACTAATCTGTTCATCCGCAACCTGGGCGTGGCCGACTTGTGTTTCATCGTGTGCTGCGTGCCCTTCCAGGCCACCATCCACACCCTGGACGACTGGGTGTTCGGCTCGCTGCTCTGCAAGGCGGTGTACGTCCTCATCTTCCTCACCATGCATGCCAGCAGCTTCACACTGGCTGCCGTCTCCCTGGACAGGTGAGCTGGCAGGCAGGCTGTGGCTGGAGAAGGGGGCTGGACTTGAGCGTCAAGGAGGGATGTGTAGAAAGTAGAAAAGAACACTAGGAAGGCAAGGGAAGCAGGAAGGAGTGAAAGACAAGCAGGCGTGTAAGAGGAAAAGGAAGAGTAAGAATGGGAGACCTCCGTGTCTCTCTGTTAGGTGCATCCTCAGGGGCTTCAGGCTGGAGACCTCAGCTCTCCAGCGCCACTGGCATCTGACAAAGCACAACGTTTCTGGGTGCAAAGCGTTTTTCCCCGGGCTGGGTCTCCTCTGAAGCTCAATGCCCCTGGGAGGCTGGGATGGGAGGGATTACTGTGCCCAATTTACAGACCAAACCGAGTTTGTAAGTGATTTGCTCAGAGTTGCCCATCCAGTAATCCTGTGCGTGAAGCCATTGGCCTGTCTCCTGGCGTCAAACTCGGGCGCCTCCACCTCGCTGGCCTCCAAGCCACAGTTTGTTCTGCACAGCCGACTCTGGTGCGGACTGCAGAATTTGGGTCCTTCGTGAGGGCCCATGCCAAACTCCGAGCAAGCATGCCCGAAGCTCCCTAGCTCGGTCCCACAACCTGACCAACAGGCCCGGGGGGAAGGGCAGGAGAGGAGCGGGCCCAAGGGTCCCCCTGGAAGCTGAAGCTTGAAAGGACACCTGGGGGATTCCTAGGGAGGGAATCCTGGTATCTCCCTGGCCCCCTCCGTCCCCACGTCCTCCCAACCTTCCCTGGACAGGCAGCGAGGTGAGGCCACATTCCCCATATACCTCCCAGTTCCACTGAATGCCAAGTGTGTTGGTTCCAAGAAGAGAGCACTGATGGGACCCATAGAACTTCGGCTTCCCTAAAGAATTCCCTCGCGGTACCTTGCCTGACAGTGTCTCCAGGCTGTCTCCTAGGGCCTCAAGGCGCCTGGGTCCTACCTCTCCGGTCACCGTCACTGGTGAGTAATCACAGCCTGCCGGAGCCCCAAAGTCGGTTTAATCTTCGGGGTGCCCTCCCGGGTGGAATCCGATTGTGGTCGTAGTCTCAGGAAGAGCAGATGAGTGGCCTTTCCTGCTGCCGGGTCCCGCCCCACATGTAGGCGCGGCTGAGGGTGTCCGGGATGCTCTGTGTCGCCCTCCGGGCTTGTGCGGTATTACCGTGCGCTACAGACATTTCTCGACTGTGAGCGTGGCGCTCGAGGTGGAGGGGTCCGGCCCTGCCTCCGCGAATCCGCCGGCACACCAGACGTCTCCCTTTCTGGCCTGACCCGCAGGTATCTGGCCATCCGCTACCCGCTGCACCCCCGCGAGCTGCACACGCCTCGCAACGCCCTGGCGGCCATCGGGCTCATCTGGGGGCTGTCGCTGCTCTTTTCCGGGCCGTACCTGAGTTACTACCGCCAGTCACGGTTAGCCAACCTGACCGTGTGCCACCCGGCGTGGAGCGCGCCTCGCCGCCGCGCCATGGACCTCTGCACCTTTGTCTTCAGCTACCTGCTGCCCGTGCTGGTGCTCGGCCTGACCTACGCGCGCACCCTGCGCTACCTCTGGCGCGCCGTCGACCCGGTGGCCGCCGGCTCGGGCGCCCGGCGCGCCAAGCGCAAGTTGACGCGTATGATCATCATCGTGGCCGCGCTCTTCTGCCTCTGTTGGATGCCTCACCACGCGCTTATCCTCTGCGTGTGGTTCGGCCGCTTCCCCCTTACGCGCGCTACCTACGCGCTGCGTATCCTCTCGCACCTTGTCTCCTACTCCAACTCCTGCGTCAATCCTATCGTCTACGCTCTCGTCTCCAAGAACTTCCGCAAGGGCTTCCGCAAGATCTGCGCGGGCCTGTTGCGCCGCGCCCCGCGCAGAGCCTCCGGCCGCGTGTGCGTCGCGGCCCAGGGCACCCACAACGGCAGCATGCTGGAGCGCGAGTCCACCGACGTAACGCACGTGAGCGAGGCAGCCGGGCCCTCTGCTCCTGCGCTGGCGCCTCTTAGCTGCCAGTACTCGAGCTCGGTTCCCAGCCTGTCCTGGCGGGACCAAAAGGCTCCCAAAGCCATCTTGACAGTTAATGTGACCCGAAGGCACTTAAGGAGTACACTTGGGTGTTGAAAGATTGGAGTCAGAGGTCGGGGGATCGTGGAGGGAGTTTCATCTGTTAATAAAACACGCAATCCATTCCGCGTGCATTGGCGCGCCGTGTCTCCGCATATCTCGCGAGGCTCTACGACTTCACAGGGGAGCTCCGGATAAATGAGGGCAGGGTGCCCTGCTTAGTTACAAGGAAAGAGGGCGGCCCGCACCGAAGGCGGCAGAGTTAAAGTCCGTGTAGAAATCCCTAACTGAGGCTGGGGAGCGCGGGACGACCGAAGGCTCTTTGCACGTGGCCATGCGGAAGCGCCAGGTGTATATAGATCGGGGAACCAGCAGCCGCCGGTGAGCGCGACAAAGGCGGGCTGAGTGTTTAAGCGCGCTCGATAAACCGGTCGATGACAGACTTGGACACTATGTGTGTTCCTAGTAGCGTTCGTGCGCCTGCGGGTGGCGAGTCCTTGCCTGTTCCCAGCTCCCTGGGATCCCTTGGAGTCATGCCAGCCAGAGCAGTGCCTACCCACCTTCAGCCTTTGGGTTTCCTTCCTTCACTGCAGCTATCTGGGATCTGGTCTCCAAGGGCTTGGTTTATCCTCAGGCCAGGAAAGTCACCCGCACACCCGTCAGTCCTGCTCTGGGGCGCACAGCAGCGGTTCTAAGGCACTGCTGGACCGGGGCAGGCTGAGAATCCCGCCCCGAACAAAAATGCCCCCGAGCTTTGGTCAGGAGCTAGCCTCTACCTGTCCCCAGGTTTGCCCCACTCCCGGAGTTCTTGAGCCAAGCTTTTTGCGTGAAATTAGTTCAGTGTTTGAGGAGAGGCAGGATAACCCAAGGGTGTGCCCACTTCAGGTCTTTGAGCACAGAGCACTTTGGTAAAGGTCTGGGTATTTAGCCAGGCGGTGCCCGCGGTGGAAACAGAGGCTGCACCTGGCCAGATTGGAAGGACAGTGTCAGAGAAAAGTGTGTGTGTGTTTGGGCAGGGGTCCCACGCTTCCCTGGTCTGCTTGATGGGTCTTGAGTGTGATGTTTGGTTCCAGGTGGTGGAAATGGAGCAGGACCGGGAAGCATATAGGCAGGTGCTAGGTGGGCGGGGCTGGGTCCTGAGCTTTGTCTTCAGGTGTTTGCTGAACCTGGGGTGGGGGTGTGCCAAGTCCAAGGCTCCAGGGCTGGTGCGCAGAACAGCTGCCTCCAGCCAACTGCCCAGTCGCGCAGAGAAGTGACTGAAGTGGAGGTCGTAGCTTGGCGCTGCTGCTCCGTCCAGCCCCTCCGAGCAGCTGCTGCCAATGGCCCTGCGGCTCCTGATCCATCTCACCTTCCTCAGGCTCAGAACCCCACTGTGGCTCCAGCGTGTCAGCGGTTGGCAGGTAGAAAGCGTAGGGTCTTGAGCTTTGGGATTTGGGCCCCAGGGCACTGGGTGACCTCGATCTCCATCCCTCAGACTGGCCATCCTTCTTCAACCTCAACTCAACCCCAGGAGGTTCAGGAAACCATCCAGATTCCGAACGGAAGCGCGCCCCTGCTTGTGGGCGTGCAGGTGTTTGTGTCAAACGTGTTTAACGTGGTAAGTGTCCTCAGGCTGTGGAGGACTCGGGGGCCCAAGCGCTGAGCTAGGAATGGGACAGGACTCAGCCTAGTGAGTGCTGGGGCCTCCTTCCTTCTTGTCACATAGTACCCACCCCCGAGGTGACCTGCTGCCCCCCTCCCCCAGGACATCCTGCGGTACACAGTGTCCTCCACGATGCTGCTTCACTGGTGAGCACCCACCACCAGTGTGGGGGCAGGGGTTGAGGAAGGGAGACCTCTGTAAGCCCAGCACAGAACCTGCCAAGCCCAGGGGCACATATATACGGAGAGTGGGAGCCTTAGTAGCATCCTTGTGTCCCTAGTCCTGGCTGGACACTCGCCTGGCCACCGGCAGGGCAGAGTCACGCTGCCCCGGGACTCTCTCTGGACACCAGGACTCACTATCCGGGAAGTGTAAGTGAGGCGGGGGTTCTTGTCTCGGGAACTAGGCAGGCATAGCCCTCGCTATTCCCCATCTAGGGCCGGGAGGTCCTCTTAGTGAATATCCCCCTCCTGGTGGCCCTGCCAGACCACTGGCACAACTCCCATGCCTTATGGTGCCCCTTCTGGAACCCCGAGAGCAGTGGATGGCAGCTGGGCATATGCTGGGGTCTCCCCCTCCTCCCCCTTCTGAGGAGGAGCTGGGCCTCTGGCTGTGGTACCTTTCCCTCTGCAGGCTCTGGGTGAACTGGCAGGGCCAGAGCCCACAGGCCCGAGTGGACCGGGATGGCCACATCGAGCTCTACCTGGCCCTCACCACGGAGACCAACTGTGACTTTGAGCTTTTCCACTTCCCCAGGGACCAGAGCGACTGCAGCCTCAGCTTCTTTGCTTTTGGCAACACTGGTGCTGACAGGACAGGAGCTGGGAGATGAAGGGAGAGGGGAGCCTCTGGCCTCCAGCGAACACCTGACACAGGGGTCCCGGGCCTGTGTTCACACCAGTCCACCCCCAGGCTTAGGGGAGCTGATCCTTCTGCTTTCACCGGGCACCTCCCACTCAAACAGCAGCCCCACCTCCTAGTCCTCCCCTGCTCTAGGCCGTAGCCCCCCTCCAGTCTTCTCTTCTCCCCCATCAGCTACCCCAGAGCAATGCCCCCAGCAGCCAGGGCCGAACTGCACACTTGTGTCAAGCCCAGAGGCTCAGGCTGCTGCGGGCTCATTCCTGGAAACATCCCGAAGGTGTAGCCACCCAGTGAATATCCCACAAGCTCAGCAGGTGACGTCCAGCTCGGCGGCGAAGTCCCATCCTTCCCTACATCCCTCCCCTCTGGGAAATACCACAGCTGCCGCCCCATGAATCCTAATTATTTCAGGTGTGAGATGATATACTGGTGAATGAGTCTGTGACCATGTCCCCCTCCATGAAGTGGTGCATTTATTTTTACAATGAAAATTCACCTGTGAATCTGATAAGGCCCTTCTTCTAACTGGAGAAAACTTGGGGTCTTGCGAAATCCGGTTTGGAAAGCCCTTGTACAGACCAGTTTCCAAGTCTGCCCCCAGCAACCAACACAGGGCTCCAGCATCCCTGGGCTCCAGCTTGTCCCTGCCCCTACTCGCAAGAGAGATGCGGGGGCAGGGGTATTTCTAGTTCACCGTTCTCACCCCCACCCCTTCAGTGATGGAGCTGGAGTTCCAGGCCCATGTGGTGAATGAGATGGTGAGTGTCAAGAGGGAATACGTAGTTCAGGATTTGAAAACCCAAGTCCCATCCCAGCAGCTGGTGCCCTGCTTCCAGGTGACGGTGAGTTGGGAGGTGGCTGCCGAGGGCTGATGGAGGCATCAAGGATGCACAGCCAGAGGCCGTGACATCACCCTTCTACCGCCCACCCCTGCGCAACCCCCACTGGAAAGTCCCGACCTTCTTCCTTCCAGTTGCGCCTGCAGAACACAGCGCTAAAGGCCATCATAGCGCTCTTGGTACCCGGGGAGGCACTGCTGTTGGCTGACCTGTGCGGGGCGCTGCTGCCCCTCCGGACGGCGCGCGTTGCCTACAAGGTGACCCTGCTGCTGGGCTACCTAGTCTTCCACTCCTCCCTGGTTCAGGCCCTGCCCAGCTTCTCCTCCTGCAACCCGCTGCTCAGTAAGGCCCACACCCTCGCCTGGCCGGGGGCAGGACCACCTTGTGCTGGGCCCACCTCATTCTGCCCGCACCTGCTGTCGCCCCCTCCCTGCCCACCTCCCCGGTTCACTACGTCACTGCCCTGCTGCTGCTGCTCTTCAGCACCACGGAGGCCGTGCTGCTGTCCGTGCTGCTGGCCCACAGCAACCTCAGGGCTGAGAGCAGCCCCGGCCCAGTCCTGAGCGGGGAGCGGCACGACTGTGGGAACCCAGGGCCCAATCCTGAAGGTGGGCAGGGCCTGGGGCCCGTTCCTTGGGGTCTGCTGAGGAAAGAGGCCTAGGGGCAGAGCTGGTGGGCTGGGATTGCGGGTTACCAGGCTGTTTAGAGGTTCCTGCATCCACTCTGCTGGCTCCACTGTCCCTGGGTTCCACCACGGCTGCCCTTGGAAGCAGCAGGTCTGGAGCAGGGAGCAGGGTTAGCCTCCCTAAAGGCCCGGGTGACTTCAGACTCCCTGGGATAACCCTCTGCCTTGCAGAGCCTCTCTTGTGGGACGTTTTTTCAACTCAAGATGACCTAGAATGGGCCAGACCCAAACATTCATTAGTTGTGACTCTAACGAAGGGAGAAATACAGACTGGCACCTCCCGGGATTCACCCTTCTGCTCCTGGAGAGCGTGCATGTCAGGTGAGCCCTGAAGTACACCTCCTTTTCCTGCCTCTCCCCACACAGAAGCCTCCAGAGGAGTAAAGGGGTCCAGGAGGAGCTGCACTGAAGCTGCTGACCACATCTTCCTGGTGTACGTGGCAGGGGTGCTGTGTAGCCAGTTCATCTTCGCTGTGCTCTGGACGTGGGCGACATGCAAGTCGGACCCAGCCCCTGGTGAGGCTGCACCCCACGGCGGGTGGCCCAGGCTGTAAGGGGCAGGGCCTGGGGCTACAGACCTGAGGAGTTGGGCTGTGACAGGGTCTCAGGAAAGAGGGGGGAGGGAGATCGATTCTCTTCCCTAAGCCTGGAGGACCCCAGGCCACCCTGAGCTCTCCCTTCTGTTGGCATGCAAGCAAAGAGTGTGGAATAAACCCATCATCCCAGTGCAAGGGCGCCTCAGGGGTCTGCCTTCACTGAGCTCAGCTGTTCACTCTTGTCAAAGGAGGTGGGGCCCATCTCATGCCCCCGACCCCCACTCTGCCCCAGATCGTCTCACGACTGTTCACTGGTCACCCAGTCCCCACATGCAGCCTAACTGCTCCTCTGCAACCACTGCTGCTTGGCTCCAGGCACGGGGTTGTCAGAACTCCTTCTGTGAAGTCCTGCGGAGCGCTGGCCCCCAGAGGGCAGGGGACAGAGCACTCCCGCTCCAGCCACCGGGGGGATGCCTCGGGGGCAGAACCCCCCCGACTGCAGGACTGCGGGGATGGGGAATGCGGTCTCTGCACTGAATCCGAGAGCGGGTCAACCCTGCTTGCCTTTCTCCAGGCCCTGTGGCTGCAGTGTGGCATGCTCCTCCAAGCCCAACCCTCACGCCGGGGCTGAAGGGGGTTCTCCATCCCCAAGTCGGAGCTGGTCCGGGGGTGGGCCTGCTCTGCTCTCCTGCTCCTGTCCACATAAGGCAGCTGAGGGCACAGACCTCTGTCTTCCTTCTCTGTCCTTCCTGCCTTGAAGCCGTCACGTGGCCCCTGCGGGCCGCAGTCAGGGTCATGAAACCCAAGGTGCGGAGGAACCCCAGAGTTCCGGGAGAGCGCTGCTTGTGTGGGGAATGGGGGCCGCGAGAGGAAGGGCAAACCAGGACCCGAGGGCTCAGGGACAGGGCTCCTGGTCGGGGTGGTGGAGAAAGATCCCAGGGCCCAGAGGCAAGTTAACACTGGTTTATCTGTCTGATAACATGGCTGGTCTGGCAGAGCCAGGCAGGGGTGGTGGCGGCTCAGGCGGAGGTGTCAAACAGGCGATCGATCATGTCGCCCACCTGCTCCACACGGTACTTGATGTACTTCTCAGGATTCTTGGTGAAGGGCACGCTGCCATACCTGACCAGGCGCTGAGGTCAGCGGGGATGCCTAGCCCCTCCCCAGCTCTGCCTCAGCCTAAGGCCCTCCCGATGGGGTGCCCCTGGGTGATGTCCGGGTCTGGCCCCACACCAAAGCCCTGGGCACTGGATCTGCCACCCAAACCCACCACCCTCTCCAGGTTTCCTTGAAGAAGAGAAGGGCCCAGTGGTCCAGCCGGGGCAACGGGGAGCGTGGGGCTGGGAGGGCAGAGACGGAGGGCTAACCTGTGCAGAAAGGCCCCGTAGGTCTCCTTAACAATGTTTTTCTGGGCTTGGCGGATCTTGTCCCTCTGCTCCGTGTCGGGAATAGCCCAGGCCTTCTGTATCTTGCACAGTTCTTCCAGGCCATCGTTGAAGCCCTGGCCACCAAAACGGTGGAAACAGAAGTGACCCAGAGACAAAGGTTTGAGTCTGTGTTGCTACAGTAGCAGCAGCGATCAGTGGAGCGGGGAGGAGCCTGACTTACCTTAAAACGTTCCTTGATCACCTGCCGCTCCTTGTCCCGAAGCTGGGGGGCCAGGGGAGACGGCAGAGAAAGCGTCCCTCAGAGCAGGATCGTCCTGCCCCTGCTCCTTCCCCAAACCCCAAGCCCAGCCCTCTCCCCTGCTGCCCGGATGGCCACAGGCGTCCTTTGCTTTCTCATCCGTTGTCTGTTTTTTCCCAGAGACACAACAGAAAGCACCACATCTGCTAGACATCCCTTCCCAGCCCAGGCCTTCAGCCCACCTTGACTCCGGGTTGGAACACAGGTAGGTTCTTCTCAGCGATGTAGTCAGTCACCTTTAACCAACTGCCAGGCAGGGAGGGAAGCAGAGGGCAGAGGAGGGACAGCCTCAGGCAGCTGCTCCCTCCCTGGGGCTGGACTGCTTTGTTTTTTAAAAATCTCTTGATCTACTGGGGGAGAGGGTGAGGGCAGGGATCAGTGTGGGTCATAACTAAGCAAAACACAGCTGAGATCTTTTTCCTTGGGAATAAAAATGTTCAAGCTGCTCGCTTTTAAAATTAAGGACAGGAAACAGAACATTCAATAAATTGAACAAACACTGCCAACTACACTTCACGTTGATATCATGGCCAATTAAGATGGAGAAGCAGATGAGAAAAGAGGGAACGGAGGACAGATAAATGGGAAAGCAGAGGGAGGTACGGTCACGGGGAAGAAACACAAAGGGAGAGAGAGACGCACAAACTAAGAAACAGGAGGAGAGGGGCAGAGACAGCCCTGTAGAGTGAGGCTCAGCCAAGTTCAAGGGACCTTGTGAGCTTGCTCTTCACCTGGTCTAAACGTTACCCACATCTCTGACGGGCAGGCCTTCAACCATCTTAGTCGTCACCCTTGGCAACTACCCTTCTCCACCCCACGAGTGTGATTAAAAAACAAGTAGAGGATTGGGGTCCACAGGGTGGCAGTTCCCCGTCACTGAGCCCACTCTGACTGGGCCCGGCATCCAGAGGCTCTGAGAAGCAAGCGTTACTGGTGGGTACACAGGTCGGGGAGCAGGAGGGTGGGAGGAGGCCCACCTGCGCTGGTAAGTCTGGATCTGCTGCTCGATGTGCTCACGGTAGGAGCGCTCGGCAGTCTTCTGGGTCACGGCCACCAGCTGGATCAGCTCAGACCTGGGGTGGGAGCAGGCGAGAGAGGAGAGGACGATAGGAAGGCTGCCGGCCTCTGCAGCAACACCAGTGGGGCCTGCCTCCCACCTCCCTGGGTCCTGGGACTGTGAAGGGTAAAGCGGCATCCTCCCTGCCCTGGACACGAGGGGCACAGCCAGCCCCGGCAGGCCAGGCAGCGGCAGGTGAGAGCTGCAGACCAGCGCCCGCAGCCACTTACTTCTCCAGGGCCTTGAGGATGTAGTTGTAGCTGTTGTGCAAGAAGATGGCGCTCAGAGCCGGGTCCTCATACACCTTGGACTTGCTCAGCAAGTTCAGCTGCAGGTTGCCCAGGACTTTACCTGCACAGGGCAGGATGTGGTCACGCCTCCCGTGGCAGTCTGACCCAAGTGACCCAATCCTGGGGCCCACAGACCAACTCCCACCCGTCGCTCCTTGCTCCTCCCGGACTCTAGACCCCACCAGCCTTGGGAGCCTTTTGCCGAGCCCCCGCGGCCCCCCAACCAGAGGTCAGGCTGCGATTCTAAAAGTCGGGGCGCTGGTGCTCAGGAGCGGGACCGGGACTAGCAGGAGAGCACAGAGAGGAGACGGAAGGGAAGAGGCGGGAGGCAGGGAGGCTGCTGGCTGGCGGCCGCACTCACAGATGTAGGTGCTCAGGAGGCGCTTGCTGAACTCGGAGCTGTAGCTGGTGGCTGAGGAACTGGTCTCTGTGAGAGGAGGGGTCCTGTTACCACAGCAGTGGCAGCAGCCGAGACCCTCTCTGGCCTCCCCTAGGCCCGCGGAGCGGCTGAGGAAACCCTGGGAGGGGCCGAGCCTCCCGGGGACGTGCTGAGCTACAGGGCTCCCTTCCCGCTGCGGGGGGCGCTCCCTGGGACTCTTCCTGGAACCCAGGGCCGGCGCCTCCATGGTCTCGGCTGGGGGGGGTAATGAGCTGGCCCAGGGCCGGCAGGAAGGCTGGCAGGACAGGAACGGGACCGCCTCTGCAACCCAGCCCCCGACCCATGCTGGGGGTACCGACAAGGCCCACTTCTCCCATTTGTCAGCAACAGAGTCTTAGAATAGGCCCCCCATGGCCTCTCCCCCTTCACCCCCACTGCCCACAACCTCCTCTACCAGGCCCTTCTGAACAGAGACTTGCTGGCTGCACAGAGCAGAAAGCCAAGGGGGGAAGGGAGCGGATGGGGGAGGAAGGGGCAGGGAGGTGCTGGACCAGCTTGAAGGGTGCACTCAGGGTGCTGGACACAGCAGGATGCTGCCTGGAGAAACCCAGAGACAGAAAGTGGCCGTCAGGGAGCTGAGAGGGTTGGGAGCACCCGGAAGGAACCGTGTGCCCTCTGACCCCGCTCCTACTGGGGTCCCGAGTCTGTCCAGGTGCCTCTGTCCCCAGGGAACCTCACTCAGGGGGCTTCAGAGGGGAAGGATGGGGCTGCGGAGCCCTGCTGCTTACCTCGGGGGTCTAAAGGAATATTGTATGTGTCCCCAAGAACTACGCAGTGAGAGGCAGTGCGCACAGAGGGGAAGGGGGGAGAGACAAAGGAGGGAGAAAGATGCAAAGTGCAAAAACAGGTTAGAAACGGCCGCAACACCCGAGCCAAGCAGACCACTCCCCGCGACGCCAGAAACAGACAGCAGGACAGCCCAGGCTGGACCCCTGAAGGCCAGCGACACACTGGAAAGTGGACATCTGGAGAACCACAGGCCAGAGGCTGCACCTTGGCTCCTTGCCCCTAGACTGGGGGGAAAAGGGAAGGCCTGGGGCCCAACAAGCTGGGCTGGGTCTCAGTGCTCGGAAGCGCGCTCTTCCCCACGTGCTAACCTCCTGAGCCCCAGTCCCAGGACAGCAGTCACAGTCACGGGAAGACACCAGGCTGGCCCTGAGATGCCAGCTGTAAGGGGTCAGCTGTACTGGACTAATTAGGAGGAAAGGCAACACAAGAGGAGGTGGGGAAATGCAGGAGGGGTGGGGCT